AGACCTGCAACATTCACTGTCATTATGGCATGTCATGCAGCCATTGTCATTTACATCATATTATGTGTTCGGAATATTCCACCCAGGTGCGTCTTTTGTCCTGCTTGTTTTATGAATGCAGGGCCTGTCCTAATCAGGAGATCCTTGATCAGTTGCATTAATACTACAGCTAGGAAAATGGCTCCAGAATTTCTGGTAGGGCCTCTAGTGGTACATGTCCAAACAGTACAGGTAAGTGAAAGCTACTGCTAGATACTACTATTGATATTTAATCAATACTTCTAAATGTCGTAGATCTGGATGCTTCAAAATTTTCCCAGTTTAGTGTCATTCAGTTGCTATTATTATATTGAATTTTTTTTCTCTTCCAGGCATCCTCCACAGGGATACTGGGTACGTGACGGTTGTGGCTGCCAACACCTGCGTGAGTCAGCAAGTACTGTGATTCGGGAGAGACAGGAGAATCGTCGATCATATATTGTACTGCTGTTGGCATCAATAACAGTGGTCATGATTTGCTCTGCTGGTAAATATGTTATCAATCTTTATATATTTATTTGATTATTCTCTTTTAGAAGTTTAATGTAAACAGTTGAATTTAGAAAAAACTTATATGTTATTTCACCTTGCACTAATGATGCTAAAGTATATTTTGCAACAGTGAAATAAAAGCCACTGTACTGTATTCCTTCTACTCCATACACAAGGTCTGAGTAGTGTAAGTTTCATTCATACTTTTGATAAAACTTTTTCCTGGTTACATTTTTCCATTTTCAATATCTTTTCAGGTGAATTGGACATATCATATCTTTTTGTGAAGGACAAACCAATAGAATGGGGCTTTGAGAAATATACATGGTATTTCTCACTGAAATATGGGCTAGGAGCTGTGGCACTACTTGGCATTCTTCCCTTTTGCTCAAAAGTGCCAGACACAATATTGGCACTTATAGGCCTTGTGAGTAAAGCTTGTGGCTTGGTGGTGCTCGCCATTGCTTGGGAGGACACGGCTGTGTTTGTAGGTAAGATATTTGTTTTCCCTAGTTTGTGGAAACTACTGGCAAGGATGTTTTAACACTTTTTGTGGCTCACTGTGCAGATTGAAATTCATAAAGAAAACTAAGGCAGAGCAAGATTTATAAGAAAAGAACAAGCTAATTGAGAATTATAAGTAAAGAATAGTTACTTTTAGCTACATTTACTTTTTTTCCCCATACAGAATCGATTTATGATAAGTAAAGACCATGTTAAATTTCAGAATTTCAAGATAGATAAAAAATTTAATAGAGTTAAAGATCGTCAGATCAGGATTTATAATTAAAGACCAAGTTAGATGTAAAAGGGGAAGAATGTAAAATACAGTATTTTCTTTAGAAATATAACTTGATTTGATTAGTTACTCTGCCAAGCGAACTATTATTTATGGCATTTCAATCATTTAGACGCCATTCACTTGATTGTAAGTTGGAAATACTTTTATCAACTTTTTTCTTAATTTTTTTTTCCTGATTATGTTACTAGGAGCGGCAGTGTCCATGCTGAACACCTGGGCCATGCCAACACTCAGAGCTGCAATGTCCAAGTTGGTCGAACCAAATGAGCAAGGTCAGGATTTTATATATATTTTTGGAGGTTTATTGGTAAAAAGTAATACAATATAAGATTATACACATCTTTTTTTATAAAGACTTTAGCACTCTATTTATTTTTATAAAATTTATATATTTTTTCTTGATTAATTATGGCTTTTACTTTCAAATATTTGAGTATTCATGTTTTGAAATCACAGAGTTCAGCATTGCATATCTATACTTAAAAGACAAAAGTAATGATTCTATTTTTCTCTATCAATATATAAATTCTTTGTATGGCAGTTCATATCTTTAAACCGAAACTTTACTAGTTCTGAAAATGTAAATATATCAGTATTAGTAGCTGCCGTGTGTAATTGTGAGAGGAAATGCCATTGTATCATCCTGTAGCTTTTACTTGAAGATTATATTTGAATAATTCAGGTGTACATCATGCCATTAGAGCAATTCAGGAACATACCATATCATTCTTAAATCTTTTCTGCAGTTAGTTGTCTCCTTATATAGAAGTATACATAGGTATTTTTGGATTTTACAAGCTTATTTTGAAATTATAGTCATGGCTAAAGAAATGTATGTAAATATGTTACCAAAACTTCTTTTTGCAGGCAAATTGTTTGCATGCGTAGCTCTGCTTGAGAATGCTTGTACACTAGTTGCTTCTGGAGTGTTCAACAGCATCTACCCAGCAACAAGGCATATCTTCCGTGGGTTTACCTTCCTGATGGCTGCAACGTTTCTTATTCTGCCCATTGTCATAATCAGGTACACCTATAGTGTGGAGCAGTTGTCTACATGTTTTTGAAAATAATCCACTAGGGGAGTTTATGAGTTCACTTCTTGGAGGGAGAATGAGAGTTTGCTTATGATAGTAGTGGATTGTGTTATTGATGTTGGGTGAAATGAACATTATAAGGGGAATTTTGAGTTTATGGGTATAAATTAATTTCTGTGGAAGGATCACTGCAAATTTTTGTTTATAAGCTACTGTAGTTTTCATGGGATCTTTGAAATTTTGTTGGGCATGATCTTGTAGTCAGTGAACATTATTTGATGATGTTAATATTAACCAGTAACTATTTCTGCCGGCAGTGTTCTACACAAGGCTCTGCGACAGTTCAGTAAGTATGATTCAGTGGAGCTAGCAGAGGAAGCAAGGGAAGAATTTGAGGATGCAGATAGTGACAGGAATGTATCTCCTACGGCCCAAGGAGAGGACATTTCTCCTGGCCAGGAGGATGTTTCTGGTGTAAGGCTTGATGAAAGCACTCAGGAGCAGAATTCTGGAACAAACAACAGTGAAATAGTCACAGTAGCTGCAGGTAGTGAAAGTTGTTGAACTAAAGCATGCAGAATGAAGTGATGGGAGATGGTAAAGGTGTGAATAAGAATCTTTTGCTTGGTAAGATTAAGGGTTTAATCTGTTGGTCAGCCATCGGTTCTGACCTTTTAATTATGGATGATGTAATTATTATTTTAGAATTCTGCATACAGATTGCAAAGAACAAAAAATATGCCAGACATGGTTTTGCAAGGAGGAATTTTTACTTGCATATTGCAATGGAAATTTTCTTCATTATTTACCTTATAGTATGAATGTAATATAATCTATTTGTTTATATATATAGAAATATATATGTATGAATTTGCAAGTATGTGATGCCTTAATAAGAACAAAGTTTTAATTATTTTTTAAGAGGAAATGTTATTTCCTCATATTTTTGACTCAGATGAAAGAGAATAACGAGATTTTGATACAATAACTTTATGTAGAATGGATATTGAATGACAACATATTTCAAAGCAATACAGGAGGCCTTTATCAATGTTTGTGTGCGTGATTGTCATTGGTCATGAATGACTAGGATATTGGGAGTAGTGGATGTGCCTGCATGAGTTGCTGCCCAACTGTGCAGAATCTACAGTTTCCCCAATTTTAAGCTACAAGACATAGATCTAGAGTTCTAGCATACCTTTTTTCCTCAATATCTCAATATTCATTTATTTTTTTCCTTTTTTTTTTAATGAGGAGAAGGCTGAAATGACTGTTCTTTTACCTTTTCTATTCCATGGGTGTTACAGACTGTGAGGATGTGACTTGCCACTAGGCCAGTCCATGGACGTCCTTTTAATGTGTTCAGCATTGATGTTATTTTAAACTGTGGCTTTTTCAAGGATGCTGCAAATTTTCCATTAAAGAATTCCTTGGAAGAGTCAATTGTAAGGTGTGAGAATTATTTTGAAGCATAGCTTTAACTCTGTAACTCCATGCGTCTTTGTAAAATGAGATTTAATACTCTGCTATTAAAAGTCCATTAGAGAGATTACTGATACTGTACTCTGTACAGAGATAGATATTTCTAGAGATAGACTTAGTTAAAGTTTTTGGCTTTTGAAGCTTATCATGAGCAGGTTTATAGTCTGTTTCATAGACTCCAGCAAAAAACATGGTTGTGGAACAAAAACTCTTGAAAGGATGTTGAAGGTTTGGTACCAAAGATTATTATCATTTTCAAGTTTGGTTACAGTGCACTATTTTTCAAATTGAGTTACGTGCTATAGTCAGTGGCATTGACTATAGTTCTCTCTCTCTCTCTCTCACACACACACACACACACACACACACACACACACACACACACACACACACACACACACACACACACACACACACGCGCGCGCGCGCGCGCGCGCGCACGCACACGCACATGCACACACACACGCGCACACGCGCACACGCGCACGCACGCACGCACACGCACACACGCGCACACATGCACACACAGGCACACATGCACACACACGCACACACACGCACACATGCACACACGCACACACGCACACACGCACACACACACACACAAATATATACAAGGTCTGTAAATGCGTCCAAATTGAAGGGATACAGTGTCTTTGCAGAGTTCTTTATTCCCAGTTGATCTGTTGCAATGCTGCAGTTCAGAATGTTGAGTTTATGTATATTTTGACGATTATCATGAAGTTCATGTTGAAAATACTGGAAGGCATATGAGGAGCCAAAATGTGGCATGAGTTGTTTATGTGTTGAGAATTCAGGAACATTTATGTTATCTCTAGTGTCTCACAGTTAGAGTTGTGTAGTTGCATGATCTCTGTTGTATTTGCTTTATGGGGGAAACGCTGGAGATATCTGTGGTCTAAGGTGATCAGTCTTTCTCTTGGAGGAGAAAGTATGTAGCATATCAGTTTAGTAGAGACCACTGTCACAGGAACATGACTTTGTTTTTAGCTTTATTGTACAATGTGCATTAGAAGACTGACTCTCTTGATGGTTTCTGCAGTTCAAGAAAGGCAAATACATGACAGAGGAAAGAATTACTCAATTTAGGAGTGGTTAAATCTGTGATAAGGTTCTTTGAAGCTTGGTGTTAAGCAAGTTTTTTTTTTTTAATTTAACCCACTGGCACCAGTTACATGCACTGTCCATTGCAGTTTTGTTTTGTCAGTTTTGATTGCACACACATTCAGGGAGTCTATTACTAAGCCTACCTGACTTTTTTTGAAAAAAGGTTTCTTATACTGTTATTATCATTATTGAGTTTTTTTTTACTAACATTATTATTGTTATAAGATTATTAACAGTAATGTTAATAATAAAGATAAAAGTGAGATCTGGTAAGACTAGTTATTGACTCCAAATGTGTTAAAAAAAGAAAGGAAAGAAAGAAAAATATGGACTAAAATTACAGTGGACAGGGAATGTGCATATGCACTCATGGCATCAACAGGTTAAATAAGATTTATTCTTTCTAGTAGTTAAGGAAAATCTATGCATGATCACTGTAGATTATACAGAATTTGGAGGTTGAATTTTCATAGATTATAAGTTTTCTCTTTGCATTTTAGTAAGAAAAATACTCAAAAGTACTCACTTGTGGTTTTTGATATGTGAAACATGCTATGCAATCAGCATTCCAGTTTTCAGAATTGGGCATTAATTAATGTTTAATGATTAGATATATAAGAGTTTTCTTTTCTTCCATTGGACAAACCAGTAATATTAAGCCAATGCTGCTGGGAACATGTAATTGTTCTGTAGTCTTGTTTTGTGAAACATGTTTATGCCTAGATTGCTCAACAAAGTGCTCAGTCAGCAAGGAGTCAGTTAGGAGACCTTTTGACCTCTCCTGATTTCCTTGGAGGTTTTGGGGTTTTCTTTTCAAATTCTGTTCATACTGATATAGTTATTGTTGCTATTAACAATGCAATACGAAAATAAAATTAGTATTTTGGGAAATCTAGGATAAGATAGGTGTCACTACTAACTAACTTCTTGGTGACAAAGTGCTTTGAGGGCAATCTGTATGTAAATACATTTCTTAAACTAAACTCACAGTGGGGATGGTATGCACTTACATGCCATTCCTGGCAGCACTGGGATAATTATACAGACTCTGGAAAACTAGAACATCTTGTAAACTGACTACAGTAAGTGAAATAGTAGACTAATATCTTGGAAGAATTGGGATGGGAATAATTTTTCTTTTCTGGTTTATTGAAGTTGGTGTCTGTTTTAAATTTGCAGATATTAATCAGTAGCCCTGAATGAGGTTTCTTATTTATTATTCTATAGTAATATTAGGAATTATATATGAAAGTACATGTGAATCATCTTTGGTATCAAATTCCATAGAAAATATATTTTTTCAATATGTTAATTCTATTAAGCATGAACTTTATGTGCCCCAAGACGTTCCAAAATCAGAGGTTAAAGGATTAGAAACAAAAAAAAATATTTTTTCACTAATCTTTAGCATTGTGACTTTATTACTTGACCTACAACCCAAACAAGCTTCATCAAATTAGTCAGAGAATATAGTATATCAGATATATGAGGATCTTGAGTGAAGTTCATAAATATTCTATTGTTTTTTGTCTACCCTGGTAAAGTGATATTTGGAATGCTAACAGCCCAACTTTTAGTATGTAGGTAATGCATTTGATAAAGAAGCCACAATAAAAAAAATACTGTTAAAATCCAGTCCAGGCTTCTCTATAGAGAATGCAAATTTGATATTTTGCATTGTGTCCTGAGGATCCTTAATTGGATTTAAAGTGTCACATTATACTTTCCTTATTTTACTGATGCTGTTTTTCTGTACCCATGCTACTTTGTCTTTTGTTCACCTGGGTAACATTTTTTGACTGTATATCTTAAAAAGGTATTTAGATAGAGAAATAAGTGATATATGAATATATATTTTAAAAGAGTATGTATAAGTTGAAAAATTAAAAAAAAATGATGAAAGCAAATGAAATGTTCATAGTGTTAACATGTATTTGCATTCAGCCAAGATCCAAGTAGCCGTCACAAATGTATGAAAGGCATTGCGTCATTTTATTTACTTCCTGTTGCTTGATTTATTGTTCTGTTAATGAGGTAGATGCTATATTTTGTAATGTATGTGGAATATCTTACACAGAGTTAGAGTGCACACATTTTATATTTTACTATTCCATGAGTATAAGAAACAAGTTATAGCAGGCTTTACTTGACCCTGAGTTATAAACACCCATTCAAGTGGAGGCACATAGCAAAGCAAATTCGGTGACCAGAAAATATCACAATATATGTACTAGATTGCAAAATAAAGATATCTGTAAATAATTCTGTATTATGACAGAATAATCCTGCAGAGACTCTATTTGAAGTAATAGGACTGAACTATAATTTACGTATTCAGATCACTTTCCATATAATCAAAGCTATTTTAACCTTGACATGCATGTGATGTGAATCTCACATTGCTCATTTAGGGTGTGCTGTGGTGTTTATGTATCTCTGCTCCAACAGTTATGCTTTCCTCCAACTTGTGTCATAGTTTTGATGTGAACAGAAAACCCATTACTCTGTTAAGTTGAGTTGGTGATTATAGCAATTTTTGGAAAGTGAACATCTACATGCAAATTATTGCTCAACAGTCAGGTTGGAAAATGGGTCCCAGCAGTTGTTTGGCAAAGAACACACAAAGTTATTTAAAGATTTTCTTGCACTTCATATTTATGTAGCTAATGAAAATATTGTAAAAATATCTCTAAGTGACTGCATTGAAGACAACTGTACTCATAATAGTTTAAGCTTTTATACATCTTTTATAGATACAAGTCATTCTACCTTAAGTATAATATTTTGTTTGAAATGGGAAGGGGTACATATGTATTTATACACATCAGTAACATAATTATTATTAATGAAGTTTATTTCCATTAATATTGAGTGAAGCAGGCAATAGCTAAAGCCATTTTTGAGTAGATGCCCACCATTTGCATCTCATTAAACACATTTTAACACTTCATATACATTGTGGGCCGTTGACCCTGTCGAGACACCAATTTGTACACCTGTATCTAATACCATGTCATCATTTGCTTTTACGTGACGTTTCCACCTCCGATGCTGGTTTTGCAGTAATCTTCCCAACTTGTACTTTCAAATACTCCCTCCCTCCTGAATCCAGTGTCCTTACTACAGAACTGTATGCACTCCTTTTTGCCCTAAAACACATATACTCACTCTCCTCTTCCTCTTTTACAATTTTTACTGACTCCCATAACTCATTAACTCTCATAAAGTCAATACACACCACCAACCCCCTTGTTTGTAAAATCCAGAACTGGTTGTTCTACCTGTCCACACGCCATAAAATAATCAAATTTTGCTGGGTGCCCAGCCATGTTGGAATCCCCGGCAATGAACAGGCAGATGCACTAGCACGCCATGCCTCTATGTCCACATCATACCAACCACGCTTCTCACATATCCCAGCCACGGATTATTACCCACACTTTAAGACCTTCTTGTATAACTGATGGCATTCTTTTTGGTCAAGCCTCCGCACTAATAAATTACATTCTGTAAAACTATCAATCTCCACCTGGGTAGCTCCATTTCATTGGAACAGACGTTGGGAGACCACTCTCGCCCGCTTATGCATTGGCCGCACCCGTCTAACACACTCCTATCTGATGTCACAATCTAATCCACCCCTATGTTCCTTATGTAATGTTCCCCTTTCAATCCCACACATCCTATTGTCGTGCCCACGTTTTGAAGCAGCCCGTACCTCTGCTTTCCCCCACTTATCCTCTTTTCACCGACCTCCCAACCTATCAGACATCCTTACAGAATCCCACACTTTCTGCATCAACCACCTGTTCTCTTTCCTCAAATGCATACATATCCTTCATCTCGTCTAACTCCTTACCACACCCGACCTTAACCCTCTCACTCACCAATTCCTTTGCCCAGCTTAGACAACTAATCACTAACTCAACCACCCTTCACTAACATTAACTATAGTGCTACATGACCTTAGATGTCTAGCACATTTATCTTGCTTTTTAACCATTAACCATTTTACATGACGTTTCGGATCATTTGATTTTTATTATGTCTACTTTCTTTTCCGACCTGCCATTATATCCTGCCCTCATCAAAGAGCAAAATTAATATGCATATACCTAAAGAATATACATATACCTTCACTAGTAGTAAAATAAAGTGTGTGCATACATACAGATATATACATGGATACATTCTAAGGAAGGAAAGCATACAAATACATTGATATTACACAAGCAAATGTACTCCCATTTGCATGCACACACATGCACACACACACACACGCACATGTACTCATATACATATGCACATGCACATGCACATGCACATGCACATGCACATGCACATGCACATGCACATGCACATGCACATGCACACGCACATGCACACGCACACGCACACGCACATGCACATGCACATGCACATGCACACACACACACACACATGCACACGCACACAAAAATATGCACAAATCAATTCAGTTTTTAATAAGATGGCAGTTTAGAAATAGAGAAACAAATGAAAATGGAAAATGAAAAGTATTTAGCGGGAATCCTGCTATGAATCGTAGTCATGCCGATGATGAAATGGTGAGAAAACTGCATAATTTGTTTGTCACTGTGAGCAGTATTGTCTTTATTTCTTTATATCCAAAGTTTATATATTGTATTTTTTATTTTCAATGGTTTGATATTGAATTTGTATGTTTACTCATTAGTGATGAGACAAGATCTACTCAACGTTTTCGTGTGTGAAATTGCAGACCAATAAGGCATTTTTTAATAATCCTAGAGTGTTCCAATGTAGTGACCTTTGATTTTATACTAGAATTCGGTATACCGTGAGAGGAAGCATGATCCATGTGCTGGAAACACAAGTTATAACGGCTGCCGTTTTTTATTCTACTGAGACGTTTATTTACCTCACTTGTTGCATCTGATTTAATCATATAATCAGATACACATTAATTGAAGACAAAATTATCACCACTGTTAAACCTTGCATTACAATAAATATGTTTATTCGG